TGCCTTTCGACAATGAAGGAGAAAGGAGACAGGAAGAAACTAAAGGCTGTGCCGTTCTGAACGGCTCTCGCTCCCCCCACCCCCCACCCTGTGTTTGCTCACCGGTTACTTACAAGCACACGCCCTGCGTTTAGAGTAAGAGTTAATATCTGTGCTTCCTCATAAATCTCCACGCAGTGCCTCCAGCTATGTTTTTAATTCTGTGGTGCAGCTTTGAGATTTGAGATGAGTGGAAAGGAGGGGCAGCTGACGAGGTAATAATGGAAGCTGCTATTTCTCATTCTTGGGAGCAGTCTTTGGCTCACGCCTTGCCTCGGTAGAGAGAATCTTGGGAGGCCATGCTGGAAGAGCAGGAGGCAGAGAAGCTGGCTGGGCTGTCCTGTGCAAAGTGATGCACGGCTTCTCCCCCAAGGAAGGAAAAAAAAAAAAAAACAGTCATGGAATGAACAAAGTGTCAGCTAGAGAAGGCACTGGTGGGGCCTATTCCCCAGTTCAGGAAGAGGCAGAGGAGGCCTTCCTGAAAAGACTCCGTCCTGATTGAAGAGATGCTTCTCTCCTTTCAACTTGGAGTTACTTTTTGTCCTTAAAACATACTTCTTCAGGCACATGGTGCTCTGGCCCCTGTTTGAGTAAATCCTTCATTTTTAGCTTACTTCTTCAGCATACCCTTGCTTTGTTACTGTAGAAGGTAAACCTGGCTGGCTGTGGTGACTGAAAATTGTAATTGCCAAGGCTTTCTTCCTTGCCAATAACTGTATTTTAGAACTCTGAGTCACTGAGTAGAACAGGTAATTAACATGGCTCTAAAAAGAACCCCCTTTGAAAATTTTAGTTCTTAGGGTGTGTGTGTGTGTGTGTGTGTGTGTGTGTGTGTGTGTGTGTATGTATGTATTTGTGTGTGTATTTATATGTGTGTGTATGTGTGTGTATGTGTGTGTGAGTGTGTGTATGTGTATGGGAATGTATTGTGTTAGCGGGTGTATGTGAATGTGTGTGTGTGTGTGTGTGTGTGTGTGTGTGAGAGAGAGAGAGAGAGAGAGAGAGAGAGAGAGACAGACAGACAGACAGAGACAGAGAGACAGAGAGACTGATGTGGAAACTATCCTGGAAAGTTCCTTCTAACTTTAGAAGTCTAGGATTCTAAAATTGATCATCACAAACATTTCACCAAGTTCTCTCCTGGAGAGAGTTGCTCTCTCATAGGCTGTTCCTCTATTTTGGTTTGTTTCTGTAGTACTTTGAGGTTTTCAAGGAGCAAAGACCACATCACCTTTCTTACTTCTAGAACAATGAAAATGCAGGCCAGATCCAGAGGGGAGAAAGCAGAAATAAAAGAAGTTGCGATGAGAATCTTTCACTTCTGCCGGGTTTCTATGTCTATGTGTGGTCTGGAAAGATCAAATGATGGCCACGCTGGCTCAGAGACCATCTGATTTGCTCCTGGAACTTGGGGTCTGGGTCCCCCTCTTTGCCTACAGTTGCACAGAGACTGTTCTAATTAAGTGGTGGCTCTGGAGACAGAATGTAGGCACAGATTAGGTGACAACGTCTGGGCTGATTGCAGAGGTTCTCTTGACCCGTTAGAGCAGATAAGGAGCTGTGTTCATTTCACCTAAAGAAACCAGAATTGAAAGCCAGTTTAAGCTATCCATGGGGAGGTCTGTCCAGAGAACTTAGGTTCCTGAATCATAGACACTATCTCCGACTTGCAAAGCAGGCCAGAGCACGTAGGAAGTACTCCTGGGCACAGTCGGGTGGAAGAAAGGGGTCGGTGGCTGCGACAAGCACAGGACCTCCTGAGACTTCCTGTGGGTTGAGGAGGGCTCCCTTCTGTTCTAGTTCTAGTTCACTGGCAGTTCTTGACTTGATGACCTGATTAAGTCTGTTCTGTTTCCTATGATTTACATGTATCAAGTTAGCTCAAAACACACTATTGTCTGGATGAAATAAAATAAAGAAATACAAAACGTATCAAGCTTTGCATATGTGTTAATTGCATAATGCCATATATATAGCATACAAAATGTTTTTTCATCTATTCTTTTTAAGAAAGATTTCTCTTATTTACATATGGGTATATCTGTGTGCATGTACATACATGTATGTGTATCACGGGGATGGGGTGCTGGAAGAGGGCATCAGATCATGTGAAGCTGTAGTTACAGCAGGTTGTGAGCTACCTGATATGTGTGACATGGTGACAGTTTTTATATCACTCCCAGTACTGACATAACTAAATGTCACAATATCTAAACCCTCAATGACTAAGGAATGGATGCGGAGGCCATACAATTTTTAATGTGTGTACAAACATATTGTGAAGGTTCAGTAGGAGTAATCAATCAAATTCCAATTCACAATGAGATTCAGAAAGGGGAATGTGACCTGTTCCTAACCCTACTGTATTGAGTCAAAATCCTGACTGACCTAGGACTATTGACAACTTGTTCTTTGCATTCTGTTCTCTACTTTATTAACTTTTTTATTCTCTCTATGAGTTACTGTAACATGAAATATTTCTGGTCATAAAGGTATGTTTAGTAACCACAATTATCCCCAAACATTTAGCGAGAGGCCGGCCACAAGCTTTCATCCCAGGCCTGTGCTACAGGGCCCGGCAAGCCGCACCTCAAACGCCGCCTATGGAGTGGATGCTTAGCTTTATATTTTCTTCCCACCTTCCTAACAGCTCCTAATGTTCTGGAAAAGGCCATCGTCATGGTCAAAATAGTCAGATATTTAACAATAATATCCTTCTTGAATTTTATGCTTGACTTTCATTTGAGGGCCCCTTAAAGAAAAAAAAGAAACAAGTGTACTTATTAGGCAAGTTTTCTTGACAGATTTTTCATCCCTTTTGGATAAACAAAATTGTATTTGCTGCAGAAGCTGACATACAAAGTAGTAAAGAATTCCATTGTGTGAGTTATTTTAATTGGCTCAAGCCAGAATGCTCCATAAACGAGCAACCATGTATCCCTAAAGGTTGGGATTTATTGCCAGGGCAGAAAAAAAAAAACCAAAAATACAAGGGTATGATCAGAATCAATACAGGATCTGAGAAAGTAGGGTTTGGAAAGAGAACTTCAGAGGCTTGCATAAGATTTTTTTCCCTTCCTTCCTTCCTTCCTTCCTTCCTTCCTTCCTTCCTTCCTTCCTTCCTTCCTTCCTTTCTTCCTTTGTCTTTCTTTTTTTTATACTTTTTGGGCAAAGAACAAAATAAAAATAAAAACAAAGCCAGGCAGTGGTGATGCACGCCTTTAATCCCAGCACTCAGGCGCTGAGGCAGGTGGATCTCTGTGAGTTCCAGGCTAGCCTGATGTACAGAGTGAGTTCCAGGACAGCCAGGGCTACAAGGAGGCACCCTGTTTCAAAAAACAAAACAAAACAAAAAAACAAACAACACACACACACACACACACACACACACACACACACACACACACACACCTGAGTTTCAGCTTTCAAATACAATCACCAAATACCTGAGAAGTGGGCCGTGTTCCTTCCTTTCTTTCCTTTTGTAAGACACAGAGCTTGGCATCAAGAGGCGGGGCTGTGTGAGCATGTGTGAAACTGTTTACACTCATTCCTGTATGGATAAACACTCAAAAACCATACAATAGTCCCAAAGGAACCCTTCCTTAATACAGGAAGTGACAGCTTTATGAAGGCACCCCCATTAAGCTCTGGTTTTTCATTCTCAAAATCCCGGGATTGAATTTCTAGAAGAAATGAACTGAGTGGGATGCTTCATAGAGCCGCCGACAGTTACAGGCAACTTGGTTCTAAAGCTTGTTGAATGCGGGGAGCCTGAGTTCGGCTTAACCTCCCGGCACCTTCCTGCATCCAGACCCTGCTGAAACCAAAAACCCTAAATTCAGCTAGACACATTGAGAAGAAGACGCCAAATGCACGCCGGTTCTAGTCGGTGTAGCTACACTCTTCTGCCATGCCTGCCTGCCTCCTCTTCCCTTTCAACTTTCCCTTGCTTTCTATTTGTATTTAATGGATGGCCAGGCCCGGGTTCTGTCCGAGGATGGCTTCCTTCCGCACGTTAGGAGCCAGGATTGAGTAGGGATAGAAGCGGGCAGAGTCTCTATAAACATGGGTGTACCCTCTGCTGCAGCTTCATCAGGTGAGCTTTGGGCAGGGAACAGAGAACAAGGGGACGCAGGAGGGGTCACTAACTTAGGGAGCTGAGCATTTTGAATGGTCCTCTTCTGTCTCAAGGATCATAGATGTCCTTCATTTGGCAGATCTTATGTTCTCTCTCAGTCAGTTCTTCTGTTTACTGCTGTCTAAATGATGGCTTCTCCTTGTGTCCTCTTCCCTCTCTTTGAGACTGTCTCCCAGCCTTCCTACCGTCTGTCATGAGGCCAATGCCTCTATTTCCAGCTATGGCTGTTGGCCTGAGCATCAGGGTCACATTTCCATGTGGATTCTCAAAAACTTCCTGCACCTACCCTGATTGAAAGCAGGTCCATCATTTCACCTCCCACATTCCTTAACAGTTTGATTTGAGGTAAGGCACTCACCTCAGAGGAAATAGACAGGCTAAGTGGAGCGTTACAGTCCTTTGCCACATTTTTCTTGTTGATTTATCTACGTAGCCAAACTTTCTTGTAGGCCACCAGCCCCCACATAATGACACAGAAACTTATTATTAATTATGGTAGCTTGGCCCTTAGCTTGGGCTTGTTCCCAACTAGCTCTTATAACTTAAATTAACCTGTTTCTATTTGTCTATGTTCTGCCATGTGGCTTTTACCTCTTTCCTACTCTGTATGTCCGACTTGCTCTGCATCTTGCTGGTGTCTAGATTCATCCTGGGTTCTTCTCTTTCCCGGAAGTCCTGCCTAGTCTCTCCTCCCCAGCTATTGGCCATTTAGCTCTTTATTAAACGAATCAGAAGGTGCCTTTCATACAGTGTGATCAAATATCCTGCAACATATCTAACAGAAATGTCCAATCTAATAAAAATCTCCTCCTCCCTTTAGGAGACCAGGAGAAGGCCTTAGGATTTGCTGGGGGAGCACTGAGGGGCAGTCTCTATTGTCACGCTGGAACCCATGGTCCACTGAGGTCCCCTATGCTACCTTCACTGAGCACCCAATGAAATATACCAATGAGAAGTTCCTTGAGATTTGCAAGGTAGGTGGTACCTTGTCACATATTAGCTGTTTTGGTGAAGCTGTGTGCTTCTAGAACAAGTTCTGTCTTAAAAACTGTTAAGACTCAACCAGAAGGTGAGTTGATAAATATTTAGTTCCTTTTTAGACACTTATGTGTAGCTATTTCATAGATGTCATATATTCATGTAACCATATTGTGGCCCTTCCCTCTTGCTATATTCTTTTAATAGAATATTATAACAAATTACAGTACTTATGTTTGCCTAGTTGTATTTATTGTAAGGGGGTGCAAATGATGGTCTCTGTATAGGTTCATCTTAGTCGTCTTATTCTAGGAAGAAACGTGGAATAGTGTGAAGTATGGTTTGTCATACTGGCTCTGTGGTCACACTGTATGAAGTCATTTCTTTCCATGGGATGGTCTTGGTGGTCTCATCTCTAGAGTGAGTGTGGTGGACACTGCCCTTCCCTCCAGTCTCACTGGACTGTTAGCCACTCAGATGGAAAGCATGTTTAAATGCTCCATAAATCACAAAGCCACGGTGGTTCTTTTTATGCCTCCATTTCTCATCTTCTCAAGCCGACAGTTAACTCTTTGGTGACCGGGCTAGTCCCTTGCACTATTCTCTCATTGCTCTGGTAGCCTAAAGAGGACACCTCTGGATGAATGGAAACAACTTTAATAGTTAATAAATATTAAAGTATTACACCACTGTTGACCTAAAAGCAGCCACCAACCAAGAAAGCACTCAAGCTCAATACTTCAAATACTATAATTCAAACAACAAACATGACTTCCTATCATTTAAATTGGGTTAATCTGTTTATATATAGATGAAATACTTAAGTTCAGGGACACTCCACATAGTTAGAAAGTAAACCAGTTGGAGTTGAAGATTTGATGAAAAATCTAACTATTTTCACAAAACCAAATACACACATGAGTGTGTGCACATAGATTGAGAATTTGTTGTCTTTTCTGTCCTTTTTTAGTGTTTACTTTGACATTTGTATTTTATTTTAAATTATTATAACTCATTTAGTATAAATTTAGAAAATGTCTGGAGTCCTGTTGATGGCACATTAAAATCCTTGAATTAATATACACATACCTATTTATGCAAGTAAATTTGTGTGGTGTAAATAAATAACTGTAAATTGGTAAGTGCCCTTGAGGCAATGTGTCTGTGATTAGACGCTAGATGGGGTCTTAATTGCCCCTAATGAACAGATAAATTGGCTTGGATACATTCTACTCCCAAGACAAGTTGGTGATCCTATTGGGATTCATGCAGGTGTCCCCAGAGACTCATGGTTCCATGGTTGACTCTGGCTCCAACTATCGCAGGCACTGAATTAGTTCAGGGATCATGTTGCTGCACTTCATCTGATACCCATTTCACAATCCCCCAACCAAGCCATCAACAGCAGCTCCTAGGCTGACACTTTACCACCTCAAGCCAACCAAACAAAACAGAGTGAAAACCAAGACCAGCACCAAAACACTTCCACCAAGCCCTGCTGTAAGAGCAGACTTGCGGAGGGAGTTGAGAGGCGGAGGGAGAGTGTGTATGGAACTCAAGTGCCCAACTTCCGATGTAGCACCAGCTCCCCTTCTGTTCAAAAGACCGGAGGAGTAGAAACACTTATGCCTCCATTATATCCTCTGTCCTCATCAGTCCACACCCTCCTTAAACTCCCATTTTTCATTGCTACTATTAGTTGCAATGGAAGACATTTATTACGATACCTGTTAATCCAGACTAAAATGTATAATAATGAATTTTCTCATGGGAATTTTCTTCTTTAAAGGAAAACTGTTTTTAATCATTAAAATGATATATATTTTTTGTATTAATAGTTGAACTTCACTATTAGCCAATACAAATACTTAACCAACTTAGTCATTGCACATGTCACTCCCTGGGACAAGCCTTCTCTTGTTCCTTGTACCTGAGGCAGGAGATACTTATTTCTGAATGGCGTTTGCTGGAAGAAGTTCACAATGAATGATTAAGGACTAAGTTCTGTGCACTACAGAAAAATGTGATAGTTTGATAGGACTTTGTTGTAGTCTGCTACATACAGATGCAATAAAACATTTTTTTTTTCAAGGAACGTGAAAGGTGAAATATTAGAGGGAGTTTGAATCCTTGCCGAAGTATTTATGAATGGAGTTGGGAGACTAGATCACTGCATTTAGCACTGGAGCTCTCAGTGTGTATGTGGTGTGTGTGTGTGTGTGTGTGTGTGTGTGTGTGTGTGTGTGTGTGTGTGGTGTGTATGTGTGAAGCATATACATGCCTATGCAAATATGAATATTAGTTGGTTGGTTTTTAGTCAATCAGATCACTATATGGTTCTGTTAAATGTGCTGATTTTAAGTGCCCCCCCCCGCCCCGTTTCTCTGTATGAGTGTATAGAAGATTGACAGAATCTCTTACAGAGCAGAGTGGGAGGTTTCTTCAAGGGACAAGAGTGAAGAATGACCAACGGGGACATTGCATAGGGTACAATCTGGAGGGATGAGTTTAGATCATGGTTAGCGAGACCCCTGCAAGATCAATCATTTCTTCTTAAATTATTAGTCTCCTTCCTTCCCTCCCTCCCTCCCTCCCTCCCTCCCTCCCTCCCTCCCTTCCTTCCTTCTTCCTTCCTGGCACCAGTCTGGAACTTTCATTTGCTAAAGCCAATTCTTATTCAAAGATCATCCCAAATGAAACTCTCTACAAAAGCCAATGGTCTCCATCTGGGATGTGAGTAAGTCTTTGGTCTAGGTCTCCAAGTTGTAGCTTCTTTTCTTGTTGGTTTATATGTTATAGCATTATATGTCATTAGGGCTTTTTCCAGGATGGAGTCTGATTAAGGTTTTGCTATACTAATATGGAAATGGAGATTTGAACAGGGATTCTTTGTTGAATCTTGAATATGTATAGCTTATGTGAATATTTTCATTTAAGGAGATTTTTAAAGAGTTGAGTTTTTTTCCCAATTTTTCTCTGAGACAGAGGGAAATGGGAGAAATGCATAGCTAAGTCAAAGCCAGGAAGCGGTTCAACTCAGTTTTGCAAATGTTGTAGCACGGGAGAGAGAAACTATGAAGTTGAGTTACACGTAGTCAAAATGTTCAAATTGCTTACAAGCTAATAAAACAACCTATTATTAAAAAAAATATTACAACTCATTCTTTGCCAGAGTATTTCTCTTAGAACCTCTTTATTCACTGCACATTTTCTGGCATTCACAGGATACAAGTATAATTGTTGCTAAGGATACAAACATAAGTGAGATGATATTTTAGCCATGTGCAAGGTAGAGTTTGACAGAAACAGCAAATAAATATGCGAAGATTTAAAAATGGAAGTTTGATTCCAGTGAAAAGGAATGGAGGTCAGTAAAGGTGTAATAATGTCCATGGAGAGAGTAGTCTAGCTGGTGTGTAATCTTACATAGTTCCCCAATATGAATATATGATGACCTAGACAATAAATATAGAAGCCCAAGCAAGTTGGAGTCATAGAAGTAGGAAGTAAGGAAATTTTGAATTACTTAGCAGGGAATTAATAAAAACACATGACCAATATGATACAGAAAACGACAGAGAAGTTAGGCTGAGGTAGCTACTAGGTAGTTAGATGGTGAATACACTAATTTGAATGTCAATAACCATGAATGTGAGGGGTTAGTTTAGCTTATGAGATAATATGTTTGAAACATCCATAGAATAGTTAGGTAGTTAAAACTTTACATCTGAATTGCTGTAGAGAAAGTTGAGAAACTAGAGACAGACATTTCAAATCAAATGACATTGTATCAGGTGTGGGAGTCCACAGAGGTTTCCTAGTAAAATCTGAGCTTGCTTTACCCAGCAGGACTGCATAAGAGGATGATTGGACCATGGGCTTGGGTACCAGGTGTTTGGAAGGGTCTACACTTGGCTGTATCTAGCAAGGAGGAGGTCTTTTGCCCCTCCCCTTGGCATTGTTATAAAAAACCCTTTTGAATACAGTTCTGGGCCATTGGGTATTGACCCAGGTACTCCCGAAGCTATCCTGTGTTTCTGTCTTTCCTCTCATCAGCTAGGTCTCTCTACCTAATATTTCTTATCCTTCTCTCCTCAAGAGTACTCTGGATAAAAAGTGGGGCTAGGGACTCCCAAAATCAAGGCTGAGTTAGGAAGGTACTTGAGAGAGAAGTATTATACCCATAAGGTGTTCGAATTTGAGTTTATACTACCAAGTGATGTAAAAACGTGATGCCTCCTGGTACTCATCAGAAGTGTAAGTCACTTCCACATCTTGCAAACACAGGGCTCAAAATGGCTTCTTTCTGGAAGTCCACCTTACCTGCCCACCTTGAAATCTTTTCAAATCTGCACACGTGCCATGCTGTGTACTACTCTAAATATACAACTGTGAAAATGTAAGATACTAGACTATTTCACATTTAAGGTAGTACACAAAAATAATCTCACATATTATTATATCATTTTACTTTATCTTTATTGCTCATAGGATGAGTGATATTGTCATGCAAATTAACTAACAAAACATCTAAGATAGTAATAAATATCTTCATTTTAGAAGTCAAGACACTTAAACACAGGGATTAAGTAAAGAGACTAAGGCCATGCAATAATAAGTATACCTCCACACCTTAACAGTCACTAATATTCATGGAACTAAGTATAAACCTAAAGGACTTCGTTCGTGTGTAAATGTGATGCTGTGTGTGTATGTGTGTGTGTGTGTGTGTGTGTGTGTGTGTGTGTGTTTCAGAAGGGAGAGTTGAAGCGACTAGGATGAGAATGAAAGTCAGAATGAGTGGGAACTTCTTCTGTAGAAAGAAACTTCTGTCCCATTCTCTTTGTTTTCTGTGTATACTTTAAATTACCCACAGTTACAGGGTCCGCACAAAGCAATTGATAATTCCAGAGGAAATGTGCACGGATGACGTGCATTTTGACCAGCATTGTAACTTGCCAAGAGGTTTCACATCTTCAGTACTGGATGATTTGCTCTTCATCCCAGGGCGCCTTCCTCTCTACAGAGAAGGGTTGAAACCTGTGGCCCCAAGGCTCGGAAAATCTGCCCAGCTAAGGAATGTGGGCCCGCAGGCGTGAAACCTGGTCTCTTTGCCCAGTATAAACAGGAAGCGAGTGATGGTTGTAATAAAGAAAACTGAGATTCTAGGCGGGAGCTGCTGGCAGACAGCACCTGAAGCAAGCGGGGGGCCCAGGCACTCAGCTGGTAAATAATTGCTCTAAAGTCAAGAATACTGCACCTCCTCCTCCGTGAACACTACCATGCTTCACCCACATCAGCACACGGCCCCCGTGTAACTGGAGTTGTTAAAACTTGACCCTGTGTTTTTGAGCCAGAAATAAAAGCGGGAGACAGAGGTGGGTGTATAAAAGCTTTTAGACAAAAGTATGTGGCTGGTGGCATTCATATCAGATGACACAGCGTTCCTGTCACATAGATTGAGTTCAGGTGCTTGAAATGCTCAAGAGCCAGCTTGGGGACGTGGCCTTTTGTCTGCCACTCCTTTAGGGAGCAGCTTGTCCCTCTAAGCATGCATGCCTTACCCCCTTTGAGAGTGTTCCAGACATGACTGGGAATGAAGTGTAACCAATGAAATGCAGTGTGCTGAGTATGAAAGAGTGTCAATATTTTCTTTCTAGCCCTTAGATTCTGAGACCACAGGGGATTCTCAAGAAATGACGCTCACAATGAGTTCTGAAGACATGTTCAGTAATCCCATTTGACAAACACTAACTTCTGAGAAGGCATTTTGTTAATCCAGATGGTCTTGGTAAATGGAAGTGTTGAGACTGTATTTTACCATTTTGGAGACGGTGGTTTCTTGATGATGATGGTGATGATGGTGATGTTGATAATAATGATAAAGGAGCTAATATTTATTGTTTGTAAGAAACAAACTTGTTAATGGTTTCTGCAATGATTCTGAATACCAGCTTTATCTCATTGCACACCCTGGCCCCTCCTGCTGTATATGAATACATAGTCATTCTCTCTCTCTCATTTGTTTTACCTATGAATTTGATATTATCAGTATACTCATTTTTACGGAAAGAGAATATAAAACTCAGGAAGGCTTAATAATTTACCCAGGGGGCACACCACTGGTGAATACCTTGCTTACAACTTAACATTTATCTAATCCCAGTACTTAATGCTACATATATTGTGAATCTGTGTGTTTCGTAGTTCAGTGAGTCTTTTTAAATGAGATAGGGTGTTCGTACATAGCCCAAGTTGGTCTTGAACGTTTCATCCTCCTGTCCTTTGTCTCCTGAGTATTGGAATGTAGACATGTACCACCCTACATCTTAAAAGGAAGGGACTTTGGATTGTTCCAAAATTCTAGAGCTGAGACAAGATAAGACATTTTAAGCAAAGGAAACATAACCAAAAGCTACAAATTACAAAGCTGTATGAAATGTTCTTAGATAATGACTAAGAATATGTGCATTAATTGAGTGAGTGAGTAAGTGAGTGAGTGAGTGTGTGTGTGTGTGTGTGTGTGTGTGTGTGTGTGTGTGTGT